TTTGTATATCGATTGTGAAAAGTTCAGTAGCCTCGGTGGGATTCGAACCCACGCATGGACGCCGCCTACGCTTCGTACGAGCATGCTCTACCAGCTGAGCTACGAGGTCACAAAATTGTTTCATATAAATGTGATTGTACAGGCTTGAAAAGAAATTCACCGAATACATATGTTCGTTTAAATTGTGTTCTTAATCAATGGGCATATTTCGTGATTTGATTAGTTTAACCCCTACAGCCAATAGTTCCGCCGGGATTAAAACTCAAGTCTAGTGCTTCACAAATACTTAGGTGACTGACGGATAGACCTGGGGATTGCATTTTGCGTGAACTGAACTGGTCCGGACTGTATGTGTGTGTATGAGGATGAATACTAAAAGCTGATCAAACAATACCAACATTACAAATTAATGCCAATTACTATCCTAACTTCTCTTTTTCTCATCTGGCATTCACGTTTGAAATGTTCCAACGTAACTGCTATTCCATTCCACTTTGTAAAAATTAACCACAACATTTATCCATACAGCACTCTAAGCTGTTTAACTTAAGTGTGTTCATATTTGTTTGGTCCTTGAGCAAGGGTTTATGTGGTCAGAAAAATTTGGCTCGTTCAGTGAGTACCAGTCAGCACTGGTACTCACTCAGCGATCACTGTCTTTAAAGTGCTTTTTAATCAGTTCCCATTCTTTCCAATTACATCGACTATGACAACTAGCCCGCAGTTGAGGAGACCTGTATCACGTCCACTGTGTTCACCTCGGGCCGGACCACGGGATGAGGATTATTCCTGTTCATCCTATCGCGGTGATGACAACAGTGGTCACATCAGACTGACTCAGGAACAGCTCTGTCTACAATCCACATCGGATCCGATTGATTTGGCTGACAGTCCAACGTTTCCGTGCAGCTCACCTCCTGGTCCGCCCTCGCCAAACCCTGGGCTGAAAGCCTCGATTGACCCGATCTGGTATTGTGTGGATCTCACCGAGACGGATCCGGACCGGAAACAATGCAGTTGTCAGAGATTTCGCGGACCAGTCGAATCACTGACTGAGACCGGTCTGAAAGCGGATATTCACTGTGGCGATTCGGATGATGGGAACACGACTACCACCGGTTGGACCCGAGCCCAGAGTTGGTCTATTGACCCGCGAGTGGATTATGAGATCACCAGTACTGTGACTAAACCGAACACTGCAGGCAATGAATTGGCAAAAGAAATCCGCAAGTGAGTAGTCGACGGCCTGTTCGAGGATTGCTTTGTCATATTGTTTGCACACGAAGAACACAGTCCCATTCCATTCCGTAGTGATCGAATAATTGGTTAAAAATTGCTGGAAAGTACTGGGCCTGTGCTGGATCCCTTTGATCTCTCATTTGAGAGAATGGGGGTGAAACTGACCCAACAAACACGATGCATCAGTCGAACAAACCACACTTGAGCGAAAACAATGAGAAAACACAAAATAGCGTGAGCAAGCTCATTTTCGATAACTTCTTCTTCTGGTTAATACAGTGTTGTTATATTATGTTATATTTCAAAAACATATGACTCCAAACTGTGTCAAACAACAGTTATACAAATAGGTAACAAGCATATCACATTTACGTAACGTTTGATTTTGAACAGGTAAGTTAGAAGACAAACACTGCGAGAGGAATTCCTTTCGTATACTCTCATCAGTCGCGTACGTATAACACTGAACAACATAGACAAATAAAACATATTAATAAATATATACCTTTTTCAGTTTAAGATGTCCGAAATCCTATTTAAGATGTCACAGTATGAATTTAAGATGTCCGAGTATCAATTTAAGATGTCATGTTGCTATGTGGATAGTACCTTGCACAGTACAGAGTGAAAACATAACAACATGACATC